GTGACCTCTAATGGACAAACCATATATTACTGGTATTTCCACTGAGCAGATACTCATAGGCTCCAAGTATATATCCAGATAACAAAATACTAGAACCTTTGAATGGATTCTCCAAACGATCACAGTATCAATTTATCTATTATGTAGGTAGGTCAAATAATTGTTAGTTACTACCATAAAAAAACAACTTACAGCGTACCCCTAAAATAAGTGAAAATAAACCACATCATGGTGACCTGCAGCCTAATAGCAGTACACGTACTGATGGGCAGCACTCCCCTACTGTCAGTGCTAAAATAACCTTTAACATCCCACTGCACTTTCTAGGCATGTTTTTCTGTGCTCTGCTGGCTTGGACTGCAGTTAACCTGAGCTTCTGAAAGCACTTCAAGCACATTTCCCATTCATGATGCAGTACAGTTTTCCTTAACCAGCATTCCGATTAGGGATAATAAACGTGACTATACCAGGATGTGAAACTTTGTACACACTAAGTAACCAGGCAGTTCTTCACATTGGGCTAGCAGTCTGAAGTCTAGAAGTTTCGGTAACATTTCATACTTAATGCTTAAGTAGTTGATAGACAGTGCTCTGCAAGAAACACAAACTCAGGTTGTGCCTAAGCCAGAGTACCTATGCAGTCTAAGAAGTTCCCTTTAAAAAAGGAAGTTTCTTCATTGCTTTATTTCTTGTTTACAATCCCATTGGCATAAAGAGAACAAACAGTGAAGTCTAATCTGTCCTGCTGACTTCAGCTCCCTACTGCACAATCACCTTTCCATGCCCCAGAGGCAGCAATTCTATGATCCACTACATCCAGTCTTTTAAAAAAGTTTACCCCTACAAGCAAAGTTACTCAAACTTTATTCCCAGATTCTGTGACTACTTTGTCACATTTAACCAAATTAATCCATCACACTGAAGGGCTGTTGCTCAGCCCCCAATTTCCACAGATGTGAGTAACACTTTCAGAACCTTTATTCCATTTTATTTTGATGTTAGCCAGTGGGTTCAGGAGATGCCTGGTCAGACCAGACAATCTATGCAGACTAGTACCTGAACATGACTGTCTTTAATTTTGCTTCTCAGCTTTTCATCTGTACAGTGGATAGATGGCTTGGCTTTAGAAATCAGTAGATGATGAAACAAAAAAGTCTACTATAGCATATGGGCACAGTGGCCCATATGTCTAAGTTAAAAAAAAAAAAAGTACTTGCTTTCTCCCTCTGCTTTCAACTGGTTCATTGCAGGAGACCTCAAAATGGAATCATCCCAGGTTTGTCACTTATACAGTAACTGGTCCAACACAACTGCAGAAACACTACTTGGCTTCCCCTACAATTTTGCTTCTGATTTTGAAGCTGTTCTGCCAAAAAAAAGGTTCTCATGAAGCAGCAGAAGCACGAATTTTACTCTTTCATAGGTTACCTGGAACAGAGGCAGCCAGTTCAAGGCTCCTCCATAAGCACAGCACCAAACAGGTGGCAAAAATCCAAGGCTTATAATAACCAGAAAAATCCATGTGGATTTGAGTACTTCAAATAAGAAGTGATTTACAGACAGGTAAATGCAGAAGCACCAGCAGTATGAATGGCATACTAAAAATATTACTAAGAAAAACACACATGATGGACTTAATAGGATAATTCTCATACTTGCTAATGAAACTTTACTTACTTTTAATAGTTTGCTGGCAAAAATGTGAAATGTGGTTACATAAAACATGCATATTCAATTTTTACATATATTTATTCTTCCAGATAGACATATTTACTCTAAACAGCAGAAAAAACAGCAAGCAGAACACTCATTTAAATGGCAGAAAACTAGTAGAAGATGCTAATATGACCTTAGTGTAGCATGTCAAGTGTCAGTGCCACCTGCTTCCTAGACACTTTAAGAGCAATCTGCTAAGACAATTAATTACGTAGCTTAAAAGATTAGGTCAACAGTGTCAAATATGAAAATATGAACTTCAAATTTAGCCTTTTTAAAATGTGTGCTGCCTATTTAAGTGTCTATATCATTCTGTGAAAGAATCGGAAGTTTCAGACATGGTGAGTTACTTCTCAGGAGAAGTGGTTTTACCATCCCCTGAAATAAACATAGATAGGCAGACAGTATCTCTAGGCTGAAAGAACGGATATTTTCTTGCAGCCTGCTGGTCTAAGGACTACTTTAGAACAAAGGAGAAATTAAAAAAAACTGAGATTTAACATAATGCAGTCGTAGAATGTGGCAGCCCTTAAACCAGTATTTTGAAAATCAAAACTAATTCCAAAACAGTGGTCTAGATTGGCTTTTTCTTGAATGAAAAAAACCTGAAAGCAATTTTCTTGGACACCTCTAACTAACATATCTTCAGTCAGGTCTTCAGCCAAGATTTCTAAGTAGGATATAGGTTAGTTACATAGCTTGCAGTTTTGGCACTTCAGCTGAGGGATGTCACTCTCTTCTGGCTCAATTCTCAGACATGTAAGTTTACCCTGACTGGAGTCTCACTGCAAGAGTTTCAGCCTGCCTTCTCTTCCTCAGAATTGCAGTTAACTGCTATAAGCCCAACCAGCTGTGCATTCAGCTAAACTCACTCATCAACTACCGTTAAGATTTGTAAGGTGTCATATGGAAGAGACAATCAAGTCCTCAGAAGTTTATTAGCATTCAGAAGTTTTAGAATTAAATAAAAAAAGGGAAAGAACAGTCATGTTTACCAAGAATAACACTTACAACTCATTTTATCCCTGTGCCAGGTGGTGCTCATTCAGAAGACATCAGAGCAGACAACAGATGAGAACCAATTTCTGCCCAGCAGCACTAGGTGTAATTCACTTAACCCAACTTCAGATGAGTCATCTGACCTTCTCTCACACAGGTTTTAGATAAAGCAGAACAAAATGCTGTCTCAAGGTGCCCACAACCTTCCAAAAGCTGCAGCTAAAGTGGCTGAGCTGAGCACAGCTACCTGCCTAACTTTACGCAGCTCGAGTTCAGAGACATGCACCTCCTTACAGTGACCAGACTTGATGGCCCAAGCTCCATCACAGGCTGATAACAGATGATTCACAGCCAAAGGTTATAATAATATTTTCCCAAAACATTTTCTCAGCTTCCAGCTACTTGCAACTTTCTGACCTTGTAAACTAGAAGCAGATCTGCATGTTTAATAACAATGCTTAACATTTGCTTTTCCTGACATCGCCCATGAATTTCCTCATCACTTGTCATCTGCAAGTTAGGTAGCAGGAAACCGCTGGTCAAATTCATAAAGAAATCGAAGTCAAGAGGACATTATACAGCTAGGAGAACAGAGCCTGGAATACTTACTTCATATTTCTCACTGGTGCTCAAATACTGCCCATATTCCTACATATTTCACACTACTTTGTGCGATCATTTAAGTTGCTCATTAATATCCACTAAACAACATCTAGAGAATCAGTGTTCACATGGTAGAATCTAAGAACATTTTCATCTTTCTTCATGCTTAATCCCCTTCAAATGTTCAAACCCTTAAACAAGATTTCCACATTAATACATACGTTTTAAATAACAGATGGTAACAAGACAGCACAGCAATGACAGCAGAGTAGCAAGGTCCGAGGCTGCAGCAAGCAAGGACTTGCTCAAATACAACAGCCGTGGACACAGAAAGGAAAAAAATCTACTTACTCTTAGAAGACCACAGGTACACAGGGATCTCCAGCAAGATACCATTGTCTCCACTACCAGCTCTTAAATGAGGTCTGGGAAGGGGTGGATCCCGGCTGCACCACTTCCATCAGTCAGGGCACTGCATGCACCTGAGCTCTCCTGGGTTGGCCCTGCCTTCCAACCAGGTGCTCAATCACTGGTTCAGGCCATGACTTAGCATTTCCCCTGCACACATACTATCTTAATCTCATGCAGCAAATTGCTGAGAATTTGATAGTTTTGATTGGTTGCTGCTTTTTTTTTTTTTTTTTTTTCCTCCACCCTACTCTTAATCTGTAAAGCTTTTTCTAGGGATAGCCTGGTGTGAGCTACAGCAACTGCCCAGTCTGCTCTCCAATACAAGCCCACTTGGGTAGTTCCACTCCCCTCTCCATTTCCACACTCTTAAAAAATTAAAATTAAAAAGTTTCAAAAGGAGAAGAGTGAGACAGAAATCCACTGACACATGCTGAGAACAGAGAAAGACAAACAGAACGTCAACAAAATCAGGACTTTTCTTCTCTTTAGAAGACATACCATAACAGGGACTAGATGAAACTCACTGCTTGTCTTTCAAAAGCCAACTATCAATGTTTGCAAAAAACACAGACAGATAAGCCAGAAGCTCTCTCTTACAGAAAAATAATTTATTTTGCCTCACAAGAGTGGGTTTGTTTTCATGATATGATCTTCACCAACACCTCAACTGAGGCTAGGGGAAGTAGAAAGCAGTATCCAGAGGGTAATAACTGAAGATGTACTGCAATACAATCAACAGACAGTTTACACTCAAAAGATTTGTTGTTGTTGTCAATAAGACAGGCTGACTTTCATGCCCAAACCACACATTCAGTTGGCCTTCATCACATACATGTAATTATAGATGTAATGAAGCTGAGTTGTAGTTTTCACTTGCTCCAGTCAAAGGAATTATCCATCTCCTAAAAAGCAAACTGTATTTTCGGGGTTTTTTTTGCACTGTTGCAAAAAAAAAAAAGCCTTTTTTTTTTGCTACAGTGCAAAAAAATTCTAAAGATAGGATTTTTGACTACCTGCATGTTTACTAACACTAGTATGGCACTAGTATGACAAGTTGACTAATTTGACTCTAGTATGTGGAAAATTTGTTTTGAAGTCAGAAAGAAACGTTAAATATGACTGCTAGTTTATACCCTCAATGTTTTTTCCTTTAAGTGTTTCTCCAAGATCACCCTCTAAATATTGACACTCACTCTACAAAAAATAAACTAGTAGCAGCAGCTTTTAAATATTGCTCTGCAGCTCAATGAAGTAGGAAGTAGAATACTTACTTGTAAGCTTGTTGTGACTCAAAACCAGCTGTGTGATGTGGGACAAAGTAACTGTAAATGAAGAGAGAAAAAAATTAGTTTATGAACAGACATGACAACTGAAAGCTTGCATTCATTTCAGCTAAAAAAAACCCCCATGAGTTACTCTCCCCAGTTAAGTAAATCCAGTTCATATACATGAATACAAAAACCAAGACAGGCTCACAACTTAGGGATGCATTGAGCACCTTCTCCATTCCTTTACTTCTGTCTCTGTTTCTACATGAAGCACTGTTAACACAAGCAGTACCCTGCCTCCCTGAAGAAGCCTGACTCCACAAACACTCCTATGGGATGTGTACTGGAACGCCTTTTTCATTTTTGTCTTTTAAATCCTACCCAAGAAAGAACTGATAGATTAACATTTGCCCAAACAGCAACATGGCACACATCACATCTCCCCATCTCCGCTATTCATTACCTTCTAGTCCCAAGCAGCAATAGCTGTTTTTACAGCCTTTCACCCATGAAGCATTTTTACATACTTTATTGAACTAGACAAAGCTCCTTTACACCTTTATTTGTAGTGCTGTCTCTCCAGAACAGCTCTAGAAGCAATATAGCTGCCTCATGGAACCAAGGAATCCTGATAAGTATGTATGAGAACTGGTCATGCTAACACATACTTCCTACTTTGCAGTTTGAGAGGACCACTGTAACAGTAAAGGAAACACTTCCCAGCAATGTGCTTTGTGCTGCTTCAGGCAACCCTTAAACTTGTAACACAGGCAGAGGTAATCTGACAGCAGAACAAATGCAGTCACCCAAAGCCAGAAACAGAACAGAAAGTTCAGGGAAAAATCCAAATGGCTTGCCACAGCTCCCCCTGCAGTTGCAAGCTGGGGAGGAAGGAAAGGCCAGGAGCAGAAAGGAAGAAACAGTGCACCCACCCCAAACTTCTCTTAAAGAGCAAGCACACAAGTGCTGCTGCAATAGCTCACTAGGAGGAGGAGCTGTGCTGCATTCAGCAGCAAACAAGCAAGCCTCTGCTCAAAGCTGATGAAGACTGAACTAAGGAACAAAGCAGTAAGAAAAGAAGTGTTTTTAAACAGAGAACTGTGACAGACCCTGCACTAATACATACTAATGCATTTGATGTTCCATGCCTGCCACTACATAATTTTTACCCATTGAAAGTGAATGTGCTTGTAAAGGGTCAATTAAGTTCTCATTGTGCAGATCCAGATCTTCTGAGCATTAAACTCCTGAATCGATGCATCTTAAGTAGTTCTGTGCATATTCTGATTTTAAAGCTAAGACTGCTGACTAACTCCTCAAGGCACACCTACTGTTGGCCCTTTAACAACACAAGCGTATAGCCATTACTCGCTGCTCTTTCTCCCATTTGTTACGCCTCTGTCTTCCTCAACCAAGTCAGTTTTCATAAGCATTTTCTTCCTAACACATCGCTACAGAATAGAACAAAGACCCAACATCAAGGATTACAATCTGCCAAAGACTTCTCAATCTGGACCTTACTGTCCATTTTCAACCAAACCTGGACACCTTGCCTGAAAAGCCCCAGCATCCCAGTCAATCCTGGGCCTTGACAAAGAATCCTATTGTATCTTTGACCATAAATATGCCTACATCCCATGAAGGGGAAAACAGCTTTAGGGACACATGCACTGGACTACCTACAGCAGCATGGCAGCCATGTCCAGACAACAAGAAGGTCCAAAGCTATTACCAGCTCAGAGATCAAACTGCGAGCATTTGAAGAGCAGGAGTTGAGGCATAAAGCGGTGCTTGGCCATCCTGTAAAAGAGGTGAACTTTCTCCCTTACATAAAGGTGACCTTGGTGAAACGAGAAGTCCCTGGAAACACCAAGTCTTTTGTTTTCGCATACTTTCTTCCATGAAAAGGACTGTGCTGTAGGATCAACTGGTTGTGGTCTTCCTTATCCTACAAATATACATTGATAGTCCATTTCACACAACTAAACAACCAACTCTATCAGCATACATCTGTCTTCAGCAACTAATTAATACCCCCAAGTAACACCAGAAGGCTGAAGGAGGTGCAGCTGGAACCATCTCCCTTTGTCTCCTCTGAGATGCAAAGGGCACAGGGATTCCCACAGGGCAATAACTGTAACCTCTGTACAGTAGCACAGTAGACACAAAGAAAGGAGGCTGTAAGGACCGCAGACCTCAGAGCCTCTGTTGGCATGACAGTGATTCATACACAGGAAATAACTTATTTGGATTTCAAGGATGCACTATATGTGCACACAGAAGTTAGAGGTGAGGATACCAACAGCTGCCTGAGCAATTTATTCACCTGGTAACTACAAACTCTCATGATGGTCCCAAGCCCACAGCTGCATCAAAACAGAGTGGGTGGGGGAAGAGAATTTAAGCTCTTCTCTTTTCACCCCAGTAGCAAGGGCTGCTTCCACACACTGCCAGTTAGCTCTACACAACATATCTGGATGGCAAATCTTGGCTTACTTTTCTCTAAAAAAAGGAAGAAAAAAGAAAAACCAACTAAAAACACCCTAACAGGAAGACTCCAGAGTTCTTGCTGGACCAAGATAGGACACTGCCACTCCCAGTGCAGGAAGTTCCCAAAGAATGAGCCCTGCAGCAGCACACAACACAACCTGCAAGCAGCCTGACACTCTGTTCTCTGCACTGCAGTTATTCTAGGAATGAACAAAAATTCTAGGCATATTAATTCCTACCACATAAGCATGTGCTTTGTATAAAATATGAATAGCTCACAGATGGAATGATAACGAGAACAAATTAACACTTCAAGTAAATAGCATTTCATCCAATATTCCTTTCCCCAACAACAAGACTACATAGCAGCAGATGTCCTGAGTTACTTGGGCAAAATAATCCATAGCTCCACACCTATCACTTCAAGTGAAGTAAATCACAGATCAGGAACTGTTCCTTACTCTAACAACTCTGCTTAGATACCCACAAAAAAATGTCTGAGCCAGGCAAAAGACATCACACCCGACTTGCTTAATGAGATAATTCACTCTACGGAACAAATCTGATTCTCTTTGCCTCCACCAGTCAATATCTAAGTGTTTTGTAAACAAATGTAATTATTTATTTCAGAATATTGAATTAATAACAAACAAAACAACAAAGCAAACAAGCAGAACTCAAACATTTCCACAACAGAAGACACTCATTAAAGCTATTCATATAGGGGAGCATAAATAGCACACAAATGTTTTGACCACAGGTACAACATTTGTTTTGCATATCAGAATAATAAGAAAATATTTTAAAGTTTAACACAAAGATCAGGTGAAACAATTTTAATGTGATGCACCGACTTACAGAATATCGAGACCAAGGGACATCTCAAATCTCAAATGAAATGGTTTGCATTAGAAGAGACCTTAAAGCCCCTCTGGTTTCACCCAGTACCACGGGCAAGGCTGCCCCCCACCAGCTCAGGCTGCCCAGAGCCCATCCAATCCGGCTTTGAGCGCTCCAGAGATGGGGCACCCACAGCTCTGGGCAGCAGTGCCAGTGCCTCTCTGACCTCTGATTAACTAATTCCCTCCTAACACCTTACCTACATCTCTTCTATTCTAGTTTAAAGCCATCACTCCTTGACCTATCACTACACTCCTTAATAAAGTGCCCTTCCCCAGCTTTTCTCTTAGCAACTTAGGTACTGGAAGGCCACAACGAGGTCTCCCCGAAGCCTTCTCTTTTCCAGTCTGAACAAGCCCATTTCCTCCAGCCTGTCCCCACAGGAGGTGCTCCAGCCCTCCCATGGCCTCCTCTGACAAACCAGCTGACAGCTCAGCCTTCCCTTTAATGAAAGAGAAAGCAGGAAGAGATGGAGAAGTCAACAAATGTCTAGGTTTAAGCTACTTTAGGACAATTTTAGACATGAGTGTTCATTTCAGATATGAAAAGCATTTCTGATCAATTTTGAGACAACATCAAAATTTGATACAGGAAAATGTTTGGTTTGTTCTATCTGTCCTATAGACTTCTTTGGATGGCAGAAGTCAAGGCAAAAGAAAAAAGTATCTGTCCTGTATGGATGGAAGAGAAGCCAGAAGACAGTCCAAGCAAAGCTGCTGCATGTATTTTTCCCTTCTTCTCCCTCCCTGTTATGAGTCTTTTTTAGACTCCCTTACAACTTTGTTTTTAAACACACAAGAATAGTGCTGTAGTTGAAGGAAGGGGATTTGCACACAACAGCAGAGTTGCGTGGCACACTGCTTTCAAGACAGTGCAACTGTATCTACTTTATATGAATAAATTTACAAAAGTTTAAAGGCAAGCTCATCGGCCACCCACAGAGAGTACCCACAGCTACAGCTGGACAAGGCTTGGCACACTTCTTGAAAAACAATCAAAACTGCAGAGGGCAGCTTCCCGTGGGAGTTAGTAGCCCTCTGAGAAGGGAGCAGTCACTGTTTCAGGAGACAAAAAGCTCATCAGCAGCTACCAAACACGACTTCAGACTATTCTCCAGCCCAGTGAGCCTTTATATCTCCCACAAGGATGATCTCAACTTGGAGAAGGCCCTGAATCACTACGCTAAAGCACATGATGCAGCACGTACAGGTGTGCGCATCTGCACACACATAATTGATGCAGTGTAACTGGGGCACCACAAGTCCATGCCCACTAAACCACATCCCTAAGCTTAACATCTACCCTTTCCTTGAAAACGTCCAGAGATAGTGAAACTTCTCCTAGAGCTGCTGCAGTCCTCAGCACTCCCGCACAGTTGAGGGTAGGACGTGAACTTCCAACTGATGCACTTCAATGTTACCTTTCCTCCCAGCTGAAAGAGCAAAGCTGCCAACGTGCCTCAGTGCTGATTATTGGACTTGGTGTGTCCTGAACTCAGCAACAGCTCCTAGCCACATCTTAATGTATCAGAGGCTATCAAAAGGGTAAGTACAGATCTAAAGAGTGGTCTGCGGTCGAGGTGAGCCAGCCACTAGTTAGTCTGAAACAACCACTCATCCAGCAGAGCGCAAGGAAGCTCCTTCCTGAACAGGGATCACACCACGGGCTCCACAGCGCGACGTGCCCGCACAGCTCGGCAGCGGGAAGAGAACCGGCAGAGAAGGAAGGCCCGTGGCACACCCCGCGGTTCTGCACGACCTCCGCGCTTGGGCAGGGACCGCAGGCACGGGTTGCGCTCACCCACCCCGCACCGCGGCCACTCCCGCCCGCAGCCCCGGCCCAAATAAGGCAGTGCCGCCGCTCCCGCCCGCGCCGCCCCGCTACGCACACAGGCCGGGCACGTCCAGCATGTTGGAGATGCCGCGGTCGCACATGTCCACCTCGGGCTGGTTCTTCTCCCGGCTCTCCTCCACGATCTTCTTCAGCGACTTGGACATGGCCTGGGCGGGACACGTACAGACACACACACACACACTGTCACAGGAGCGCTCCCCGCTCGGCACAGCGATACCGCCCGGGACCCCCTCCCGCCCCGCGTCCCCGCGCACTGCCCCGACCCGCCACCGCGGGACCCCGCCCCGACTCACGGCACGGCACAGCGGCGCTGGGTCGAGGCGGTGGCGGCGGCTGTGGCGGCTGGGCGGGGCCCCGCAGCCGCACGCCTCCAGCCCGTCCCTCCCCTAAGCCGAGCCCCTCCCGCGCGCAGGCGCGCCGCCGTCCTGCCCAGGAAGCGGAGTCGTCCCCGCGGTTCCGGAGAGCCGTCCGCGTTCTGGGGGCGTTTCCAATCGCGGTCCGCAAAGGTGCTGAGCCAATCAGTGCGCTTTCTCGGTACCGACTCGCCGTCCATTGGCTGGAAGAGCTAGAGGATGTGGTTCGCCGACCAATAAGCGCGAACCGTATCTGAGAGCGGGAACTTCAGGCTGCAGCCGCTGGAATCCCGGTTGTGCGCCTTGAGCTGTGGCGCATGCGCGATGGTGCTGTCTGGTGGCTGCACGCGCACCTGAGCGGGCGGCAGGGCTGGGGGCGATGTCCTGCTTTCTGTCGTTCCTCACATAGAGAAGCTCAAAGCAACTAATGACTCCGTCTATAAAATGACCCGAAGCCTGGACGCACACTGGGAACCATAGCCTTGAGTGGCTATGGTTCCCAGTGGATTTCCCAGTGGATTTTTGTGGAAATGTGCATTTCCACAAAAAAAACAAGGATAAGCGGGAAGGTGTCTTAACCAGCAAGTCACAGAATCGTCACGGTTGAAAAAGAGATCATTTAGTCCAACCATCGCCATATTCCCACTGTGCCCACCCACCACGTCCCTCAGTGCCACAGCTCACATTTCTTGAACGCCCCGAGGGACAGCGACTCCGGCACCTCTCCGTGCAGCCCGTGCCAGCGCCTCACCGCTCTTTCCGAGAACGTTTTCCTCACATCCGGCCTGAAATGTTGGTTTAGCATTGCTACGGGTATAATTTTAGCTTTTCCTTTCTAAGAAATGGGATGTTTTATCTCTGAGATGCAGTACCACATTTATCACGAGATGGCGCTCGCTGCACGGAGTCGCTTCCTGAAGGGCTGCCTTGGGGCAGCCTGGCAGGACTGCTGTCCCGCGGGTACCTGCAAACTGCGCACGGCTCCTCTTCGTCTGCAGGAGCACAAACCCGTGCCACGCTCCTGTCTGAGCAAATGCCATATTGCCAGCAGTCAATGAGCTCGGTGTTCACTGTTCTCTTATAGAAGACGTTCACAGCCTTACCCAGATGAATTGCCCATAGGTACATGTACACAATAGGTACATGTTTTAGGACAGCTGGTTAAAGTAGGTGAGCTCTGTTGCAAGGGTAGGCAGCTCCCTCCCTGCACTCCTTTCCAGCACCCACCACTGAGCTTTGCCTCCTGCTTGTTATGCTGTCTCTCCCAGTTGCTCTGGTCACTGCTGGCTCTGGTGATGGGAAGCAGCAAAGGGAGGGAGAGTCCAACGCTGCCTTTCCTGTGGCTGTCTGATGTAGTTGTAAGCAAGGAAATCATAGAATCATTGAGTGTCTTGTGTTGAATAAGACGTTAAAATCCACCCAGACACATGCCATGGGCAGGGCTGCCCCCCACCAGCTCAGGCTGCCCAGTGCTCCAGCCAGCCCAGCCTTGAGTGACTCCAGGGATGGGGCACCACAGCTCTGGGCAGCAGTGCCAGTGCCTCACCATCCCAAGTAAAGAATTTCCACCTGAAATCTAACCTAAATCTGTCCTCTTTTAGTTTCAAGTCATTCCTCTTTGTCCTATTATGCATTATTATTCTATTGTTTTCTTTTCCTCCAAAAAACAGTACATTCTAATTTGGGGTTAGTATATTACAACAGCAATGTGCATCTGCAAAAACAGCTGTCCACTGCTAGGACAGCTGCTAAAAATCTATCTGCCAAAATTAGACTAATTATGTGTGATAACTGACACAATGTATATTTGCTGATCTTCGCCTTATTAAAGCAAACTACTGTACTTTGGCCTCTATTTCTGCTATCAGCTATTATCATTTTAAGTATCATTTATTAGCAACTCTGTGTTCTTGCTATTGTTCTTATTATGAACGGCAGTCAGTGCTACTAATTTTTATTACATTTTCCTTTAATCAGGACTGCCAAATAGTTCTATGGTATTAGTTTGGCAGCTGATGGAAAAATAATTACACTAAATATCTTAATTCTGGTGCCTAGGACACTTATCTCGAGTTACTGTGGGAAACTGAGACATCTCCTTTGCTTTATGAGCCAGCTGAAAACAGTTTCGCAGTCAAAATTCTTTAATATTTAACTAAAATTGGTGAATGTTTTAAATTGAGCAGCACTGTTTTTTTTTTTTAGCATTGTAGCTGTATATATTCTCTATCCTTTAGTTCAAGTAACTATAGTTCAAATGAACTCATTCTGTTATTACTTCTCATTGTTTATAAAGAATAGCCCCACCACATAAGAAGGGCAGTTCAGAAATGCTGTTACGGATGTTTTAGTGCTTAACTTTCAAACCTCAGTCTTTGAAGTCCTTACCATTCATATATAACTGTTACCTAAAATATACTTTTTAAAATAAGTAGGTATAACAATGTCTAGAAAATTTACACATAAATAAAAAAAAATCTGACTCTATAAAGTGATAGCATGGACATTGATTATCTGTACTGTGCCATTTATAGTGGAGAGATTTGTAGCTGTGCAGGTTTTACAAGACAGAGATGCAATATTCACAACTATAGCATGATCTATAAACCAGTCAGTGACATGCAGAGACATAAAAGCAAAGATATTCCTGGTAGTATTGTGAAACAAAGCAATAATCATATTAAACAAAGATTTTGTCTTTGAACTGTACACTGCAAATAGCAGAAATTTTTCAGAAGTTTACATGTTTAGTTGTTCCAGTTTGCTTTTGCCATGCAATCATTTCAAAGTGTTTTAAATTACTCCTTACCTTCCAAGACAGAAACATGGCTCGACAACAGCTCTCTCCTTTAAAGACCTTCACTTTAATAGCTCTGCAGTGGTATTTTTCTTGTGGTTGCTCACATAAGATGCTAGAGGACA